GGCAAATGACAAATACCTTGGGGACAGCCCTGAATAGCACCATCTTTTTATTCTTTTCATCTTGTGCTTTCAGAAAATGTTACAAACTCTGAAAGCAGTTTATCTATTGAGGACTACCAATCCATTTGATGTTTATATCTTGCTCCCTTTGTGAGTATATATTTTACTGTACTTTATTTTACCATTAAAAAGGATTATTGCACCATGTCAGGCGCCCGTTTTTATGTTTTATGTGTTTTCTTATGTTTTTATGCAGTGTTCAGATTCCCTTATCTGTAACTTGGTGGCCGTGCTCGATTCCAATACATTTTTGGGCCACAGGAGGGTTCCTTTTGGCGCTGGCCGTTGCTTTCTTTTTTTGGCTTTGAAACTCTGAAAGCTGTATGTGAGATATGATAATAAAAAGTAAAAAATTCTAAAGAATTTATGGCCACCTGAGGTTAAAAGTGGAGAACAGAGCCTGACAGTGAAAGGGTTAAACATACAAAATGATAATTATAGGATACGTGGTTTAAAGGATGTTTTTCTTATATCTAACAGAGCTAGTTTTGTTTTTATGTCCTCAACTTAAGTAACTTCAAATAAATTGACTGTGATACAAATTGCAATGCAAGAATTACATATTTGTATCATCAGTTTTATCTAAGGGATAAGGGAGTACTTCAAGATTTCATTTAGGATGAGAATCATTGGTGCAGAAGACCTTTTTCACATGGAAAAAAGCTCCATGAGTCTTGAGTTTGAATCACCCCCATGCTATGTTTTCTTCAAATGATCCTAGGATTCTCTGCAGCTCCTCATCATCACAATGGCACATATTTTTCTTTTGTAATGCATAACTAGAAAAACACTTGTAGAGCTGTTAATAACATTGTTTTCAAGGACTATTCTATCTACAGAAAGGAGATGTCACGGTTATGTGAAAACATTTTATAGACACCGTTGCTATACCACTGTGTCTACGTACAGGTACAATATGCTAGCCATGTGTGCAGTGATATGAGCACATTATATGGAATTACATTATATTTATGGATACTGGACACTGTGAAAAATAAATAAGCTGGGAAGGTGATAAGAAAAATAAAGTTGATTCTGTAGGTGTGTTATGCAATGGTTATGTAAGAAGATTACAGATACTGTTGCTATACCACTGTGTCTACATATAAGTACAACATGCTAGCCATGTGAATTACATTTATTTGTAGACACTGGACAGTGTCTATAAAATGTGATAGAATTGTTAATGAATAAATGACGGAATATGCCACTTTTACATAATGTGTCACACATATCACTATGCTGAAGTCTGCTGTCAGAACTCCTCACTATATCATAAATAAGAACAAAATAAGTTGTCAATGGCAAACAGTCCTGAAGTGGGGCTGATGAGGCCCCTCCACCACCAATAAAAAAGAAAACTCAAGCCAAAACTGAACAATGGCAATGGCAGCCTCCATAATCTATTGAATCAATTAGGAACCAATCATTATAATATATCGTCAACAAATGGGCAATAGTTAAAAAACATGGTGCAGTCCTGCAGCAGGAAACAATCTTCATCTCCCACACATTTTTACAGATACCCAGAAGTGCCATCTTGCCACTTGAGCTGATGTGTTACTTGGGTAGTGACATCACTTCTGCAGTCAACCAGTCAGTGCTGGACCAAAGGGACCCCTCACTGAGCAATGATATGCAACTGATGCTGAAGTGCATGCAGGGCTGAATTCCCCACAAGGCCACCTAGGCCCAGCGTCGGGACGGCAGCGGCTTGAAATCTCCAGACACCCAGGACATGCAGTTCCGGGCGCCGGGCGGTAATTTGTTTTCTACATTTAGCCCTGCTTTGCACAAGCAGGGCTAAATGTAGAATGGGGAAGCCACTTGGTGGTTTACAAGTGATCTTGGTGATGTCGCCAAGATCACGTGTACTAAGACTGCAGCCGGTGTCCCCACCCCTGCACCTACCTCTCTCCATGCTTGCTCTGTCCTCCTGGCCCCGTCCTCCCCTCGCTGGCCGCTTCAGGATGGAGAGCAAGGACAGAGTGAAAGGGTTAAAACTAACCCTGCTGCTCCATGTAAACATAGGTAGGCGCATTGAGGAACCTGGCCTTGGGGCAGCAGGGAGAGTAAGAGCATGCATGTAGACAGGAATTGGCTGTATGAAATCACCAGCACTGCAATGCAAAACATGGTGAAAGCTGCCATTGCTTCATAAAACAAAAACATGACATTTGTTAATAATACACAGTGCTTTAGCAAACTTAATGACAGTTAGTTAATGTTCATCAGAATGATGCCCTGTGCTGTGGGGACATCAATATAGCATGCATTATGCAACAAAGAGCCTGTTAAAGTGCTAGTCTTACATGGAACTGCAGTATTTTTTTTTAATTAGATGCTCTTTATTGACATTTTTGAGTTTTACATTTTTTCCCATATCCATGATCAATTAATACATTTATTCAGAAGTATCTTACAACGTTAAAGGAAAAAATTATAACAAGACATACGTAACAACCATATAAATTCCATAAACAAAAAGAACCACAAAAAAAAAACTAGACCCAGCAAACAAACAAAAAGTGGGGTTGATAATAGGGAGAGGAAAATACATTCTACCCTTTTCCCCTCCCTACATACTTGTTGGGCAGTCAAAATTTCCAAATACGTTGATATCAACATATGGTTCACATAATATTACTTAGCCATCTTGACCACACCAGTCAATATTTCCAAATACAAAAGTTCATATCAACTAATAGTTTTCCATAATATCTTGACCACACCAGTTCAAATTTATATTCTGTTTTCTCAACCGATAGGTATGTTTTTCAAATTTCATGCATTTATATATTTCTATTTTCCATTCCTCCATAGTGGGGGGATATGTTGATAACCATTTTTGAACCAGTAGCTTGTGGGCCAAACATAATGCTCTTGATACAGACAGAGATGTATTCCCATCCATCCCTGAGAAGTCATAACATCCTAAAATACCTGTTAGGGGTTCAACCTCTAAAGATACCCCGTAAATAACATTTAATATAGAAATTACACCTAACCAATATAGTTTAAGCTTCAGGCATCTTCACAAGAGATGATTCAGGGTGCCTTGAGGCTGACGACATTTAGGACAGTTTGGGTTCACTCTAAGATTCTGCTTAAAAAGGAATTCTGGGGTTCGGTAAACTCTATGGATGATGTACAGTAGAGTCAACCTATGTTTTCCCAAAGTGCATCAGATATATCCCCTAATTCTTCCACCTAACATTCTCTACTCTTATGGGGGCATTTCTCAAGAAACTTTTGTATAAGTTGTGTATAGATCAACAAAATCAAACCCTTTGTCTTCAAAGCTTTAACCACCTTATCTAGTACTGTAGATGTAGATAATAACCGGGAACTGAATGTTTATATATTGCATATCTAAGTTGTAAGCATTGAAAAAACTGACTTGGGTCCAGGGAAAATTTAAATAGAGCTGTTAAGATTTAAAATTACCTCCTTGATACAACTGAAAAAGTACTCCATCTTGTTTCCAGCCTTGAAAAACTTGAAATTGAAGTATCTCTGTAAATAATTTATTGCACCAAAGTGGAGTATATTCAGTATATTGTGAGATCTCTAATGTTTTCTTTATTGTACTCCCTATTTTCCCAATCAACTTTACTGTAGGCAACCGTGTAAACTTACAAGTATAGATCAAAGGTTCTAATGCCTGCAGTGGAGATAGATCTCTCTATAAAGAAGATAATATTCTATGAGGTCATTTAAAAAGGTTTCAATACTCCAGCCTGCTAATTGTGCTGCCAAAAAATACAATTTAGGGTTCAGAACATCAAGACCCCCACAATCTTTGCAATATTGCAAATACTATAAATGGAGCCTTTAGTTTTTTCCCCTTCCAAATAAGTTGTCTAATAGTATGACTAAACCAGCTAGTTGGTATCCAACATGGAGAATTATGTAAACAATAAAGTATTATTGGGATCCATATCATCTTTAATAAGTTAACATGGCCCATAACTGATAATGGGCGTACAAGTCTTTAACCCTTTCCCTGCCACCGACGTAAGGCGTACGCTGAACGGTGAGGGGAGATGCTGTCATTCCTGTCAGGATGGAGAGTGGCTCTGTGCGTGGCCAAGCGGTTCAGGATGTGTAATATTTACCAATCCTACTTAGTGCAGCACAAACCCTGGAGTGATTGCTGATGCTTTAAGTGTGGCATTCCACGCTTTTACTACTCTTACAGTAAAAAAAAACCTTGAGCAGTCTAAGATTTAACCACCTCTTTTGTAACCTCTTGTTGTGCCCGCGTGTCATGAATAGAGTTCTTGGTGTAAACATTTTGTTCCGAATATTGTGATCCCCATTCATGATTTTGAAAATTGCAATAAGGTCCCTTCTTAATTGCTTCTTTTCTAAGGAGAATACGTTTAATTCCTCTAGGTGATTTACATATCTCCTTTATTAATTTTGTAGCCTTTCTATGAACTCTCTTTTGTGGACATCTCTCCTGAGGGTTGGTAGCCAAAACTGAAGCGCATACTCAAGGGGAGGCTGAACCTGTGATTTATGGGCCTCATTTACACTGCCGCACGTATGCGCGCGTATACGCGCGTACGTGCGTATTGTACCATATGCAACCTATGCAAATAAATGGCTCCATACACACAGCCGCGTATAGAGCCATATATTTGCGTAGCGTATATATGCGCAAAAACAGAATGGAACAGAGATGCTTCAGGGCAGCGTATCTCTGCGTATTTACGCGCATATACGCGCGTACATGCGTACAGCACGTTAAAAATTCCATTACGAGTGATGCATTCTGGGATTGCATATAGTGCACGCATATACGCTCGTATATACGCGCATATACGCGCGTATACAATTGTGCTTGCGTTGTGTGTGGATGAGGCCATAAAGTGGTAAAATTATGTTTTGATCCCTCAAAAGGATCCCTCTTTTAATGCAGCATAGTATCTTGCTTGCCTTCCTGGCAGCTGCTTGGCACTGCATACTATTGCTGAATCTTTGATCTTTGAGAACCCCCAGGTCCTTCTCCTTGTCCGCCTCCCCCTAGTGGATCACCCCCTCGATAGTAGTTTGCATGCACATTTTTGGCTCCCATGTGAATAACCTTGCATTTTTCAATAATAAACTGCATCTGCTATCTTGCAGCCCATGCCTCAATTTTATCCAGGTCCTGTTGGAATGATTTTATGTATTGTTGAGAATTAACTACCCTACACAGTTTTGTATCATCCGTAAAAACTGAGATTGAACTATTTATTCCAATCTCTATATCATTTATGAATAAAATTACTGTCTGATGCATATGTATATACCTTTTGAAAGAGACTACAATATATCTATACAGTACATATTTTTGATTTATTTCTGCAATTAGGGAATGGGAATTAAATATACAGTAATATAAATGTGAAATGATATCACCAATTGCAATAAGGATAATTTTAATGGTGTGGAAATCAGTATGTAAAATGTCAAATTACATTGTCATGTCACTGACAACAGGTGTTTTTCACCTGGAGTGTGTTAAAAGTAACCTACAAAGAAATAAATCTATTTCCAGACATTCATCCAGATGAAAGGAACAGTGCAAAGAAATGTAAAAAGGAATTTGCAACACAGTTCCAGTGGTGTGCATCTAGTCGTAAACTTTGTGGCAAATTCAAGAAAGCAACATTTTAATTGTTAGTATCGGCACCTGCAACCAATTCTAGTTCTTATTTGCGACACTTTTACTATATGGTGCTATTGTTGAGACAGATCTACAAAGAAATACTGTCATATCAGTGATAAGGAAAAAGAAGGTGAATTCAGTGGAGGTTCAGACAAGTGCACTTATCCTTTTTGCCCACTTCTGCTGACCTAACAGATCCTACTCGCCCCCTACACATTTGTACACTTACCTTAATCTAATGCCCACTGCTTCTGGGGATTGCTTAGATCCTATGCTGCAAGTCCTCTCTCCTGGCCATAGAAGTCTATGAGACTATAGCTAAGAGACAGAGATGAACGAGCCCCATAGAGGTCTATAGGTCTCTACTGCACAGGTGTGGGCAAGACAGAGAGAACTTGCAATGCAGGTCCGGCAAGTTCCTCTGGAAATTATATTTAATATGTTTCTGGTCATTTTAAATTTAAGAATATGGCCCTGCCTCTTTGTACTGTGAACATTTTCAGGCCATCAGGACATCATACATATTTTACAAGGTCTAAGCAGGTTTGTTCTAAATTTGGCATAGCTCATAAATAATTAGGCATTCCCAATAAAAACTGGAAAATGTTATCAGGCTGTCCACACTAGTTGCTTCTCATTTCTTAGAGTGCTTTTATTACGATCTCATCGAATCAGCAGTTTAACAATTTTAGAAGCATTATATTAAAGGAGAGCTATCACAAATAAAATACATGCTGTCTAATTATATACAATTTTAAATAGAAAAAGATATCATTAGTATTAGAATAAGGATATGTTTTATTAATAACATTTGTCTTCTTTTATGGTTTTAATTATTTTTAAGTAAATATGCTTTGCGTTATGCATGCTAGAGTTGTCAAAAAGTGTATCTAATTAGTAAGGAAAGGGTAGGCAACACTCCAGCTGTTGTGGAAATTAAAAGTCCCATGAGCCATTGCAAGACTCTGATAGCCACTGGCATGACTCTCAGTGTCAAAAGCCATGATGGGATTTGTAGTTTGCAGGGGCACGCGTTCTGGTGCAGGTCCATTGAAATGAATGGCACCGCTACACCCCTCCCTGCCCCAGAACGCAGGGAGGCTTTGTTTATGCCATCCAGTGCATTCATCCCACAGGACACTAACCTGCATGCATATAAGCATGCAGATTAAAATATATGTCAAAAAGGTGCTTTGATAATGTAATAATAATGTACATCCATCAAAGTTTTTTTTATTGTTGATTTTGTGCATTTCATTTTAGGAGCCTTTCAATGGGAAAATGAGAAATGCACACAGGCAGTGGAGAGGATACTAATCGATTAATCATCGGCTAACTAATCGATTATGAAAATAATCGTTAGCTGCAGCTCTAGTCCACTGGTACAGAAAAATTATTGTAATGATGTCACGTACCTTCGTGTGAACCTAAGGCCCCATTCACATGTAGCGACTTATCACGCGATTTCCGCCGCAATATCGTGCATTTTTGCTGCGCGATATCGCGAGAAGTCGCCGGCTAATGATAGTCAATGGAGCTGTCTTAGCTCCATGTCGTGCGTCGCCCGTCGCGGTCGTGGTCACAAGTCGTTTCTACAGGACCCTTTTTTCAGTGGATTTTGTGCGATTTTGCTTTTTTCTATGGAGCCCGACGGAGAAGGTCGCGCTACAGTCGCTGGAAGGTCGCCCCGAAAGTCGCGCTATCCCGGCCGCTGCAAAGGTAAGTCGCTACATGTGAATGGGGCCTAAAGTGACGAGGAATGCCTCCCCTTGCAACTCTCGTCTGAGCCCCACTGGAGATGAGACAGCAGTTGTACAGACAGAGAGGGGCACGAGTGCCTGTGGCTGATGTGGATGTTTGCAACACTGGAGATGATGGTGCTGACGACTGGATGCCAGAGGTAGCTGGTGGTTGATAGCAGATCAGACAGCACTGGTGTGAGGAGCTGAAGCAAAGTCAGGAACAATCCAGACTGGTAACGTGCGGGCAGCGTGGTACAGAAGCAGGAGGCAAAAGCGATGTCAGGAGCAGGTCGCATACACATTCCTATGTACAATATTGGAACCATAGCGCAGAACTCGCGCATGCAAATGTGCATTGGCTCGTGCAGAGATCCAGACAGGAGCTGTACTATGGGTGCTGACTGAAGTACCCTGACAGTATGTCTGTGCCCCTATTTACATTGTTGTTCAGTGGTCTGTGCCCCTGAATGCATTGGTTTTCAGTGGTCTGTGCCCCTTATTGCATGCAGAGGTCTAGCACCATTGCCTATTACTCCTGAGTCTCTACTGAGGAATCTCACTCTGAATATAAGCAGGCAGTGCCAGGCTGAATATCATTGTCTGCTGCTGCCGTCGTACTGCATAACATGTCACTCTGAAAGTTGGAGTGATATACTCTGTCAGAGGTTGTGCCTGTGTCTATTATTTCCAATGCACTGCAGCAGTTTTAAAAAAGAGAATACATTTAAGCTACCTCTTATAAAATGTAATACTCTCACTGTGCCCAAGTACTAGATCAAAATATATTTATTTTGTAGCCAATTGGAAAGATTTACCTTCCTGTCCCAGAGACGCAACAGGAAGTAATAGGAAACATCTACAAAATGAGGGGATTTTATTTTTTTGACAGTTGTCACTGGAGCAGGCATCACAAATAAACAATTTCTCCTCAACTCTTGTTCTGGTGATAGCTGTAAAATGTTGAATTTCTCATCACTTTCTTCCCTGGTAACAAAAGGTCCTCAAGATAAATAGAGAGAGTGAATCCACCTAGCAAAGATACAGAAAGCAATAAAGACTTGACAGAGCTTCTAATATTTCTCTACTCCATCCAAAATTTAACAAATCTACATGAACACTTTATGACCACTTTATTCTGCCATGGGGAATAATTGTTTTGTTGTTAATAGAAAAGGAACCCCTTTACTTGGCTGCAATATACCTACAGACTTAGGGACCTTAGTGATGACAGTGCAGAGATCAGTAGGCTGACCAATTCAACCCTACGTTGAACACAAAATTGAAATAGGCAAGAGTGGTCTAGGCGAGAGAGATAACAGCGATCCGGGAGAGATCCGCGTGCAGTCCTATATGGTTTTTATTGCTTTTTCTCATACAAAACAAATGATGAAATGAAGAGAAATACTCAGATCAGTTGGGTTGCAAGATCTCGATCACGCTATGCTTTTTAGGGATATTCGTTGGGTGATCCTGGGCTGAACTGCTCCTGGACCCAATGTCATCTATAGAGGTAGAACAAGTTTCCCAAAAAGGTGAGCAGAGACGCCTGAAGTTGAGGAAGAAGCTTTTCTTAATGTATCAATTTATTAAGTCGAACAAGGAAATTAACTACACCATCAGCGTGTATCCTGGTTGTGAAATGTCCACTTCTTCAGGAGGTTTGGAACGTTAAAAGGTTTTAATTTAGAGGGTCATATTGATTCATATTTAAAGACTGTTACATAGCTAATGCATAGACATGCTTATAGTTTGGGTAAGTTGGAGAAAAAATATTTGTAAAAGTTTGCTAAATTAAAGGAGCATGCTGTTATCGAACTTCCTGGATAGTTTATTTAGTTGTTGATCTAAAGGAATCTGTTAAATGGGTCTGTGTGGAAATGAGATTAGTTAATCAAGCAAGAGTAAGGCATCCACTGACACTATTGAGGAAATTCTGTTTGCGATACATAAAAATAAAAATGGGGCTTTCACCAGATTAGGTTAATGTCAGCCTTTAGAGTCAATACTACATTTCAGCCATTAAAGGACTCTTTCATTGCAAACAACTAATGTTTGGCACATCCACCAGCCCTGAGGTTTAATAACATTTTAGTATACAAGTATTATTGAGTGAGACAAAACCATGAGCATGATGAATTACTTTTTTTTGTAGCTCTACAATGCATAAAAAAGAAAAACTTCACCCTCAATGAGGAAAAGTGCAAATTTAAATTAATAAAATTACTTTCATGGGCCATATTCCATCAGAAAAAAATAAATAAATAAACAACAAATATATATATTTATTTATTATATATAATTTAAAATGGTATAGTATTGTATAAATATAATTATATGCATATTGTAAATATATAATTGCGTCATAGGTTTCAGAAAAAATTTAGTTTATGTATGTTAAACCTGATTTATTTAAACTTCACAAAGAAGTCCCGTCCGATTATTCCTAGGCAATTCCTAAATAAATTCTGAGTGCTTAGATCATGCAAGCTGGAAAAATCTAGTAGTAGGCAAATCATACAACATTGACCTTTTGTGGACATGATGCTTCTATCTCCTGGTACTGTGCATTTGGTAAAGTAATGCCATAATCAAGGAATTAACCTGATAATCCATAATTATTACTGGCATAT